TTTACCATCTGAGCTACAGAGGCCACAACTTCTCATGGCATAATAGAGTCAAGAACCCAAAAGTTTAACAAAGTAGAAATGTTGGAGTGGATCTATCCTGGCAATTTGCACACATAATCCGTCCACCACCACAACCCCAAGAGGGCCCAGCAGATGCTTTGCTGAAGCACCCACTTGCTTATTATATGGGCAAGAGGTCACTAGTGTAGCCCTTTATTAGTCTGCCAGTCATTAGACTCATTGTGCTGCTGCAATATAAGAACTCCATATTTTCTTTCTCCAGCCCCTTATTTATTTCCTTCATGGTACTTACTATAAACTGCAATTATTTGTCTTTTCTTGGTTTTGTTTATTTATTTTTTTTCCTATTTTTTTTTCTGTGTCCTCCACTTACATATCATTCCACAAGAATGACAACTGCATATATCTTATTCACTATTGTATCTTGACTGCCTAACATAGTACCTGGTACACAGGCATTCAATAAAGATTTGCTGAAGGCATAAACAGAGTCAGTCTGTCTTTGCCAACTTTAAATTCTGGTCCTTCCTTCTTCTAGAATACATATATTCAGGAAAACATGATCCCCTCACAGATGATTTACATCTGAGTTGAAAACTTGTACAAACTTATAAATCGCCTCTGTGTATTTATTTTTTTCAGCCTAAAACAGATGACTTGGTTTGCTGATATCACCTCTCCCAGTAAATTTATATTATGCCCAGAAAAATGTTTTTCAAAATTTTCAACAACTTAAAAAATTTTTTTTCCTCATAATAAAGGTCATTTTAGTGCCTTCACCATCTGTTTCTGCATGAAAAATGTTTGAAGAGGATCCTGTCTTTTTCCAGAATCACATTTCTGCCCACAGTCATGTGTCACCTCATATCACAAGTTAACAAAATTCTCAAATGCCATTAAAGTGTATCTTCTGATTCATGGGGCAATTTTTGTACAGCCTGGAGCACTTGCTATGAGTGTCACGAGGAAGCTTTTCTTGCTTCTGTATCAAATAGGGGGTGGAGTCATTCATAGTACAACATTTCAAAATTCAATGTTCCATTTAATCAAAAGCTTCTATTTTCAGTCTATGAACCTTTATTTCTAGCAACTACTAAGTGCTTTCACTAAGTCAGTTTTACACACACCCCCCACAAACATACATACAATGTTTTTATCACTGTAAGAGTTATTACACACATTTAACTACTAGTAACTAAGTAAGAAACAGTACTAAGATCCAGGCAATATGTTAACATCATCTACTACATTAAGTAAATACCTCAGACTGCTTAGTGTCACAGGAGCACTCCTTAATTCGAATTCACACCTCAGCAAAACTGCAAGATACTATATGTCTTGGACCTTCAAGGTTGCATTTACATAGTTGAAACTTTGAAAGTTGAAATCCTTAAATACCAAAGACTTATTGCATATCTCACTTTTGCAAAGATCTGTGCCCTCAACAGGGCTTTAAAAAAATTTTAATATACTTTATATTACAAAGATCTGTTTTTCACCTAAAGTGTCTCAATGTGTAATCTGTCCAACAGGACCAGTTATGGTCTGAGTAGAAATAACAACAAAATATACACCTCACAACATACTATATAAATGTTAGTAGTAGATAGCAATGTTAATAATATGGTATATACAAACTTATATAATGTTATATGTCAATTATATCTCAATAAAGCTGGGAAAACAGAAAAATACAGTAGAAATCCTTTCTCTTCTGAAAGAATTAGGGCAGTTTTTTAGCTGGATACTCAGGGAAGTCAGTTAAAGCAAGGAATTCTAGAAAATGATAAGCACACATTATAACCATTTAAACTGACACCATGAGTAAGTATAATTCATTCACCAATCCTCTGTGTAGGGGACCAAGTCTTTATCTGAATTTGGATCTGCTGTCTGAAATTCCAGTCTTAAATATACAACACCCCCACACCCATAACGCATTATCTGTAATTGCAGTTTCAGTTCTTATAAAATGCGGCAAAAACTTCAACATATGAAACAGTCCAAACCGTTTTTTCCCCAATACTTTGCATTTTTCTTGTTTTCCCCTAAGTTGACAGCCAATTTCTAAAAGTACTTGCTTTTCTCACTTTTTTTCAGAGCATTCAACTTAGTTATCGTATTCTCCCTTTTACACTAGTAATTCATCAGTGTACAGAATGCTTAGTAACAAATGCACCTGGCGTAAGTAAGTCTGAAAACAAATAAAGCTGACTGCTAACAGGTAAACCATTAGACCACAGGAATAAAAGTACACAAGCATCATACTGAGAAGCCCACGAGCCACAAACAGCGTAGGAGGAACCTAGTTAACACGTTTTACCCAGGAAACGCACAGCACTGGTTTAACCATCTGGTTGGTTAACGAGATGTCAGTTGAAAAGAGTTTTTGCCATATTATAATTCAGGTCTCAAGCACAGCTGTCTAAGAAAAAAGTCCAAAGTAGTTTCTCTCTCACATGTATATATGCTGTCCTTTTGCATTTTTCCTCAGTCATGTATGACATACATTTAAAGACAATGAAGTCAGGGACTTCCCTGGTGGTCCAGTGGTGAAGACTCTACTTCCACTGCAGGGGGTGCAGGTTCCATCCTGGTTGGGGAACTAAGATCCCACATGCCACCTGGCATGGCCAGTAAACACAGACATTGAAGTCAAAGAGTGAAAAAAAAAGAAGTTAGAATACTTAAAAGGAGCAACAGAAAAGGAATGCAGATGTTTAAGGAGAACATAATCAGAGAATCTGATTCTTCACAAAAGAACCTAAATGAGTCAGTAAAACACATTTTAAGCAACTTATAATGGTACTATATTAATTTGAAAAACTGATCCACCTTTGAAACACCCCATTAACAGCCAAAAAAAAAAAAAAAAGAAGCTTTCTGAACCATAAATAAATACATTAATGCTAGATATCTGCTTGAAAACATTAAAGTTAGACTACCTGTACTCCTTTTGTGATTATAAGGGGAAAGGTGATATGAGGACTTACTTATCTCACTGGAAACTTGGTTCAGTTTGTCCTGTGATCTGCTGATAAGAACAATTTTCATTCCACGCTTTGCTAACTGAAACAATAAAAGAAGACACCGAAGAGCTGAATCACATTTGTGTGTTTCACTTTAAAATGTAAATTAGATATAGCCTCATTTTAAGAAAATCTGACCCATATGATAACTCAAGTTAAAAAACAAATATACCCCTGAATGTAATGAATGGGCAAACCAAAATGAAGACTTTACAAAAAGATTCCCCAAAGAATTATCTTTCTCAGTCAAGCTAGTGTATAAAAGTCAATGGGTTTGTAAAATAAATTAGCCTCCAACTAATAAAAATAAATGGAAAAAAAAAGTCAATGGGTTTTAGAAAAAGGAAGACTTTTATTTTGTACCTGTCCATACTTAATGTTTTTATTCCTAAGTATATATTACTTCTTTAATTTAAAAATTAGCTTTAAAAGTTTTTGTCTTAGACTGGATATATGAAGACTGTAGAACTAGCAAAGGACGCTACGGTTACAATGTTGGGAATTCATAAATAGAATCAATTTTAAAGTTTTTATTTAAATACTATACTTTATGGACTACAAAGGCAAACTAAGATAGTTAATTGACTTAATTAGTTAAAAGACTTAATAAAGAATTTCCTGAGGAGTCCCTTCTGTGTACTTCCCCAGTGCTGTATAAGTACTGCACAGAATGAATAAGATTTATAGTAACATGGTTTCTACCCCCAGAGACCCATAAATATAGGAGCAGAGGAAAGAACACTGATATACACAGAATTTTTAGCGAACTACTACAGACAGTATATAAATGAGAATAAATTATGTGCTCTGAACTATAAATGATTTAGTAAACTAATTTTCCAGTCCTAAATACTAAAGTCAGCTTTTATTAAGTAAAAAGTGGTATAGCAAATGAGAAGATATGGAACATTTTTTTATAAAAAATAATTAAGATTGGTAATAACTTGCTGAATTAATCTCTTATAAAAACACTATAAAAAACCCATGAATATATACCAAGAGTTATTTTTTCTTTTTAATTAATGGGGAGAGGAAGAACAAAAAAAGGAGCCTATCTATAGAAAAATGGCATCTAATATAATTGTAAAAGGAAAGATACTATTTAAAAATCACCATTTTAAACCTATCCTAGTGATAACTAATTTAGGCAAAAATCAGCAACAGATGCTGGGGTGGAAGTTTGTTGAGAAATGAGGTATGCATACAAAGAATCATCCCACAGATTCCTCATTAATTACAAAGGGGGAAAAGGTACTTTTATAATAGAAAATTTGGTAGAGAGCATCTTAATAAGTGATTTATCTCAACATAATCAATAAAGGAATGAATGGACTTCTTGTGGCTCCTGATAAGATTAACTCAAAAGAATACAGTATCACCTGTGTAACATTCCTGCTAAAAAATGTTTAACACCTGTGCAGCATTTCTGCTAAAAGAATTTAACTTGAACCTATTGGGATAACAGGGAAACGTGCATACAGAGTATATATTGTACAGTAGTAAGGTGTCAAGCTAAACTTCCTATCCCATGTATGATCACTGGACTGTGGTTACAAGAGTGAACGTTCTAGTTCTCAGAAGCTTCATGCTGAATCTTTAAGGGTGAATTGTTACAAAGCCTGTAGGTCCCAAATGGTCCCACCAAATTATAAAGATAAAGTGAAACGGCAAAACGTTAACAACTGGTGAGTCCTGATGAAAGGTATGTGAGTGCTTGCTGTATTCTTCTTGCAACTTTTCTGTAGATTTTGTATTAAAAACAGAAGGCTGAGAAACCAAAGGATTTTTTAAAAACCCTTTTGAAAGGATAAATGAGAGAGTCAGTGGATCGGCCAGGATCTCTGTCACAATCAGACAGCATCTCAGGCTATGGTGCCTCTGGAACGAGGACTGCATGCCTTAACGGCACGGCCAATGCTTCTGGTCTGTACAGTTCTGTTCAAACTATTATGATGTCTTCCCTTTCAGTTACATTACAGACAACTGGAATCCTCTGAGGGTGTCTGTCAATATTTGTCAATCACAGTCCTTCTTGTGAAAACGACACCATGGCTAGTCTGCATATTCAATCGCTCTCTCATAATTTATCTACCTTTTGAAAAATAATCCAAAGCAATTAACTTTAAAGACTGAGAACGGTCCATAGTTACACAATATAAAATAAAATTACACTAAAATGTTCACAATTCCAACTTATCTGGACAAAATGTTTTACACGCATTATGCCCCAAAATTTGTTTTAAAGTTGTGTTTAAGCATAACATTGCTAACAAGGTAGAAACAAAGTACCTCTATTATATTGTACAATGCTCTAATGGTGCTTTTAACTTCAAAATCAAAATTACTATAAAAGAGCATTCTATATTTGTTCTTATATTTTTATACCAAAAAGAAAAGTCTTGAAAATTACTTACTTCTTCTGCATACGATTTTCCAATTCCATCAGTACTACCTGTGACAACTGAGAAAAGAAAACAGTAGCAGTTCAGTTTCAGAATCACGATGTAGAACTGATCATAGTTAAAACTCACCAATGAGACACAAGAGGGCCTGTGTGATATGGCTGAGCCCTGAACAACACAGCTTCGAACACCAAGAGTCCATGTATAAGCGGATTTTTTCCAGTAGATACATAGTACAGTACTACATGATTCAAGGTTGGTTGAATCCACAGATATAAAACCTCAGAAGCTAAATATCAAGATACTGAGAGCCAACTGTCAGGTTATATTTGGATTTTCAACTGCATGGAGGAGGGTCCGTGACCCTAACTGACCGTGCTGCTGACAGGGTCAACTATACTTTGATGTAAAAGATGGAGCAATTACCAGTGGTTCAATATTAGGAGCGAATACCCAGCACAAAGCTAAAAATAAAAAAACTGCACTTCCAAGGGCTGACAAGGATGGGAAGCAGCTAGAACTCTCACACAATGCTGGTGGCACTATAAATTGACACAATCATTTTGGAAAAATGACTCTGCATTATGTCCAGAAATAAACGTGCCTCCACCTGTGACCTAACAATTCCCAAGAGGTAATAAAAACATCATGTCTATCAAAACAATGTCCATGGTAGCTTTATTGATGCACAGTTGTCCAAATATTAATCTATAATAGAATGAGTAAGTAAATTAAGGTATATTTACACAACAGAATACTAAATAGCAATTTTTTAAATAAAAGAACCATCAATACATGCAAAAGATGACCAGATCTCTCAGACATTATACTGAGCCAAAAAAGCCTGAAATAAAAGTGTTCAAGCTGTTTTGATCCATTTATCCAATTCCAAAAAGGGGGAAACTAATCTATAATGACAGAAGTTACAATATTGGCTACTCCTGGGTAATGGGGTAGATGACAGGGAAAAGGCATTAAGGGAACCTTCAGGATGTAGGAAATATTCTATATCTTGATGTTTATGTGTGTATGTAAAAATGCATGGAGCTGTACAATTAAGTACACACTAGCCTATTATACATTTAAAAACTTTAAAATATATATATAGGTAGTAGAAATTGAGTAATATCTATTTCTTCTATGAGAAAGCATATTTCTCTTTAAAGCTCTAATATCTTATGTAGCATAAACACTTGACAATGATAACAGGTCAGACCACACCATGGTATCTTACCTCTAAAATACTCTTTATTAACAAATTCATAGCATGGTTGTGAATAGCATCCTGTGGCTCAGACGGTAAAGAATCTGCCTGCAGTGCAGGAGACCTGGATCTTAATCCCTGGGTTGGGAAGACCCACTGGAGAAGGGAATGGTTACTCACTCCAGTATTTTTGCCTGAAGAATTCCATGGACAGAGGAGCCTGGTGGTCTATAGCCCACAGTGTCACAAAGAGTTGGACATGACTGAGCAACTAACATTTTCCCTACTTTTACTATTCAGAAATACGGCAAACATATCTAAATTCTTCCTAGTCATATCTTTCACAATCATAATAGAATATGAAGTAAGAGAACAGGTTATGAAATCATATCTATGTCTCCATCTCTGTCTCTCCCCCTCTTAGCTGCTTAGTCGTGTCCAACCCTTTGTGACCCCGTGGACTGTAGCCCATCAGGCTCCTCCATCCATGGGATTCTCCAACAAGAATACTGGAATGGGTTGCCTTTTTCTATCTGCTCTATCGGCTTCGCTTCCTCTCCCTCTGCCTCCCTCCACCTCCCCTCCCTGGCATTCTCTGAATATATTAGAACATACATTTAATTTAACCAGCCTGTCACTGGCTGATTGCATCCTCCTGATGTCATTTAACATGTTCTTCTGTCTACTAATAGTTAGGTGATCAAATTCAGGTTTAATGTTTTGGGTAAGAATACTTTATAAGCAATAGTACGTACTTCTATCAGGAGGCACAGGTTTGCTAATTTTGCTTTTTGTTATGTAAGCAGCCATTGATGTTCACCACTGAGATATATTATTTCATTAGAGACTGCAAAATGGTGATACTTCCATAAGCCTCTTATCCTTCTCCATCAGAGGGCAGACAGAATGAAAACCACAATTGCAGAAAACTAAACAAACTGATCACATGGACCACAGTCTTTTCTAACTCAATAAAACTATGAGCCATACCATGTAGGGCCACCCAAGACGGATGGGTCATGGTGGATAGCTCTGACAAAACGTGGTCCACTGAAAAAGGGAATGGCAAACCACTTCAGTATCCTTGCCTTGAGAACCCCATGAACAGTATGAAAAGGCAAAAAGATAGGACAACGAAAGAAAGTTGGTAGATGCCCAATATGCTACTGGATTATCAATAGAGAAATAACTCCAGAAAGAATGAAGAGATGGAGCCAAAGCAAAAACACCCAGTTGTGGATGTGACTGGTGACGGAAGTAAATTCTGATGCTGTAAAGAGCAATATTGCATAGGAACCTAGATTGCTAGGTTGGTGAATCAAGGCAAATTGAAAGTGGCCAAATAGGATAGGGCAAGAGTGAATACTGACATTTTAGGAATCAGTGAACTAAAATGGACTGGAATGGGTGAATTTAACTCTGATGACCATTATATCTATTACTGTGGGCAAGAATCCCCTAGAAGAAATAGAGCAGTCATCATAGTCAACAAAAGAGGCCGTAATGCAGTATTTGGATATGATCTCAAAACGACAGAATGATCTCTATTCATCTCCAAGGCAAACCATTCAATATCACAGTAATCCAAGTCTATGCCCTGACCAATAATGCTGAAGAAGCCGAAGTTGAACAGCTGTATGAAGACCTACAAGACCTTCTAGAACTAACACCCAAAAAAGATGTCCTTTTCATGACAGGGGACTGGAATGAAAAAGTACGAAGTCAAGAGGTACCTGGAGTAACAGGCAAATTTGACCTTGGAGTATGAAATGAAGCAGGGCAAAGGCTAATAGAGTTTTGTCAGAGAGTGCGCTGGTCATAGCAAACACCCTCTTCCAACATAAAAGAAGACTCTATACATGGACAACACCAGATGGTCAATACTGAAACCAGATTGATTATATTCTTTGCAGCCAAAGATGGAGAAGCTCTATACAGTCAGCAAAAACAAGACCAGGAGCTGACTGTGGCTCAGATCATGAACTCCTTATAGCAAAAGTCAGACTTAAATTGAAGAAAGTAGGGAAAACCACCAGGTATGACCTAAATCAAATCCCTTATGATTCTACAGTGAAAGTGAGAAATAGATTCAAGGGACTAGATCTGATAGACAGAGTGCCTGATGAACTATGGA